GCCCGCCTCGCCGCTCTCGCACGGGAGCACCTCGTCCGCTGTCAGCAGCTTTCACCTGAACTACCCGAACGCCCCGATGGGCGGGGAACAGCCCCCTCTGCCCGCGCGGATGGAGGCGGGGTGGCGGCCACAGACCCCCCCGGTGGCGGAAAAGGCGTCGCCCTCTGTTTCCTCCCCCCCCTACGCCGCGAGGAGGAATTCCGGAGACGCCAGAGTCGTGGATGAGACGCCCAAACGAAAAGAGTTCATCCTGCAAGTCGAACGAAGGTCAGTGGGTTTGTTGTCGAGTAAAGCACCTTCCCCCCCCGGCCTGCTTGAAAGGCTGACGTACCCGAGGCTCAAATCGAATAAACAGACCCAAATGGAGGAGGCTGAGGAGTTGAAGCAAGAAGTGGCGAAACGACGGGCCTCTGCGAAGAAAAATGCCCAAATCACGGCGCTGTTGCAGTACAAGTGGACCACCCCTGCACCAAGCTTCTCGTTGAGGGATCTCGAATACCAAAATGAACTTTACGCCTGCTAGTGCTATTGGATTGTCTCTTCGAGTTAGGGCTCCTTTTCTTCTTGAGATGTTTTATATACCCCTCGAAATTCAGGTCTTTTTTTCCTTTGTAGGTGTTTTTCGCTCCTCCCTCTTCTATCTAAAGAAAGTGTAAATGAAACACGTGTACAATTATCATGGACCCAAATATTTCGATTAGCTTCTATATACGTATCTGTAACATTGTTTGCTTTTAGGAGTGTAAGAACTTTATATTATACCCAATCGTTGAGCACTATGAGTAAAAATCTAATCAAGGGAATACTGTTTTTTTTTTTGTTACTCGTTATCTCAAACGGGAGGCATAGGAAAAGGAATAATGCAGCAGCAAAAAAATAAAAAATATTAGAGGGCCACTCGTAGGCAGGTGCGCAATACAGGTTGCCAGTTACGCATTCCGATGTTATTTTCTTCCTTTTAGCGATACTATCACATTTTCGTCTCCTTTTTTCCCCCTATCTGTTGTAAACTTTTATGTTTGAAGCACTCATATTATTATCCTGACATTTCTTTAGATGTATGGGGCGTTTAGAAAGTATCAGAAGGGTAATTCTGGTGCGTACACAGAGGATTACCATAAATTACTGGGTAAAACTCCCTGGATTGTAGTGAAAAACTTAGTTCCTCGTGGTGTTTCCTTGTATCCGGTGAATGAATCAAAACCTCCTGTAGCAGCAAAACCTCACGACGCTGGGCACGTAGAAGGCGATTTTGAATGCGATTCATCAATGCCTCCGTCTTTTGATTCCCGTCTACTCGCCCCGAGTCGCCCGGATTCTCTTTCAGAGGGAGACGTCGCCACGGCCTTTTCTCAATTTGGCAACGTCGTCGATGTTCGTTTTGTTCGGCATCGAAAGACAGGGCACTTTCTTGGTACCGCCTTCGTTTGCTTTGAAAACTACCTCAGCGGCATCGTTGCTGCGGATGAGATGAATAGTAATTTTGAAGATGGGGATCCCGTCGTGCTGGATGTCAGAGGGACGGAGATGGCTGCCGCGGGCGATTTAACGGCGGCTCGCGCTCGTGAGTTGGGCATCGTCGTGGAACGTTGTGAAGAGGTTGAGATCCCTAGAATGGGTTCCACTGAGACGTCGGCTAGGGGTTATGCTGAGTGGGCAAACGGAAAACTAAAGGCAAGACGTGCAAATTAACGTGCAGATTTTGTTATCGGAACTATTATGAACATTGTATTACTGATCCTTTGGATATACGGCCTTTTTATCACTTTTTCGTACTCTTTTCTCACGGCTCATGACTTTCTACCCGAACTTCAACAGGCTTACCCACGGGTAGGTGATTTGTCGAACAATGCACCGACGGATGTTGTGAGCTCCTTCAGGATTGATTGAAGCGATCATAAGGTGGTCCCATCAACGGCACCTCAGGAGGCTTTAGCATGGTGCCGTCCAACCTCAATCGTGTGCTGCCAAGCAAACCCTCGAGAAACGCAATTTTCTATCAACTCCCCTCTATGATTCTCAAAGGAGGCCGTATGTTAATGTCCTTTTGGACCAGTGCAGCGTCCGCCATCGGCGGTGGTGCTCAGCCGATGCTACGTTGCGTGTAACCCTTTCAAAGGTGTCTCTGGGAGGGATTAGATGACGTGTGAGATTCACATTTATAATCCCCCCTCTTGCCTCATTAGGTGGGTAAGGGGAGGAATGGGTAACAAAGAAGTCTTATTTCAGAGTTCCTACATGAGTGAATCCTTTCTCCATGCCCCTCTCTCACTCTCTCTATATTTGTTCACTCATCTGAATTTATTCTCCATTTAATTTACTCATCGAAATCTCGAAGGTGGTCCTTGGATTTCACCAAGGTGTTTTTTCACACAAACATATACATACATACACACACACACACACACACACACACAAACACACCTATATATATACATATATATATAACACCGATATATATTAGTGGGGATTAAGAGGTATACTAGTACAGCAAAATAGGTATCCCCTTTTTGCTTTTTTTTCCATTGTCATTACTAGTGTATATTCCTCAAAGTCTCAATTATTTATTTGATTTTGTAGCGGGTCAAGGTGAAGCTGCGCGGTAAAAATCCAAATTAGCTGATTGTAAGATGGAATGGCTAGGAAATTTCTATTCTTGCGTAGAAAATGGCGGCGCTCGCAATGTCATTTTACGTTATATTAATAATGACGGGGTGGTTCTAGGGTGGGGTCGCGCCGTGAACGGGGAGCTCGGCAACAACGCCCGCTACAACGTGCTCACCCCTTTAATGGTGGGCGGGCTTGACAAACCGATCCGTATCGCGTGCTCCGTGATGTCGTCCGCGTGGCTGGGCGTTCAGAATCTTCTTCTGACGATGGGGAGCGGGATGTGGGGTGAGCTTGGGGTGGGGAACCCCTGCCTTTGCCCTCGGGTGGTGAACAACGACATGAACCTGCCGATCTGCCCGACGCAGATCACCGTCCGACCGTTCGACCCGCACGACCTCCTCGTCGACGTCGCGGCGGGTTACCTCTACTTCGCGGGGGTTTCCCTCAAGGGCCTCGTCTACGCGTGGGGGGCGAACAACTACGGGCAATGCCATCGCGACCTCTACAACGCCTGCTGCGGGTTCGCCCAGCCGCGGGGCATCGCGAACGAGAAGGTGGTTGAGGTCGCGTGTGGGAACTACACGGTGCTCGCGCGGACCCTCTCCGGGGCCGTCTACGGATGGGGGCTGGCGAAGCTGCTGGACCTCCCCGCCGGCGACGCGAGTGGGCTCGTGCAGGTCCACACGGAGCCGGCGGAGCTCCCGAACGCGGCGGATCGCTTCGTCGCGCCGGATCCGGTGCTCCTCCGCGGGCTTGTCGGGCGGGGGGTGCGGGGGGTCCGCGCGGGGCC